AAGAAACAGGAGACCAAAAGTTAGCCTGATTTGACTTCATCACACGCAAAAGGAAAATGCTCCTGAGGATTCACAGATCTCAAAGGAACACTGAGTACTGGCAGGAGCAAGAGCTCACTGCTGCAGCCCTAGGAGAGCAGGGTCTTTTTAAGGGGAGGCATATTAGTTGCTGAGGGGGAAACATCAGTCCTTGCTCAAGACTGTACCCTGCAAAGCCAGTGGGAATGAGCGTTGCTGCAGTGCATGTGCTCTCGCCATCCGGAGGACAAACAAGGGCTTGCCAAAAGAGAAAAACTCCCTGCCTTGGGTACCAAGGGATCCCTGTCAGGTGGGAGACTGGAGGACAAGGGTTATACGGCTGCCTGGACAGCAGACTCGGAAGTAGCTCACTCGTCAGCTTTCAGCGGCAAGCACCATGGTGGGGGCTATGCCATCCTTTGAAGCTGAGACCTGTGAGAGGAGGGTCTCTCTTTGGCTCTGCCGTAGGTTCAAAACTCAGACAGCAGCACCTTTGCACTTACAGAAGTACAAAGAAGGCAATGCAGGATGGTTCTGAGCAAAGGCTTGGAGAGGCAAAGTGCAGAAAAGAAAAGGGCAAAAGAGGTGAAGAGTTCAACAATGGTAGATAAGAGTAAAGAAGAAACTATAGTAAGGGCAGGGACACCAGCAGGCACTTCAGTCCAGATGCCCTTTCTTCTCTGAAGCATAAGAACACCGCAGAAAGAAAGCTCTGAACGTGGATTCACTCACTCAGCAGCACTTTCATAGGTCGAGCCTCTCCAAGGCATGCCAAGCACAAGCAGAAGGATTCCTTACCTCCTGACAGACAGTTGCTATGTGTCCTACAGCCATTGTCTTCATGAGGATCACCATAGCTAAGGAGCCTCCATCCATGTACTCCAACACCAGCCACACAGCCTCATTGGCAAGGTAGCTGGAAGATGAAAACAACAGCACAGAGCTGAACGCGCACAGCTCCATTGCCTTTTGGAAGAAAAGCCTAAGGTAGAGTTTTGTTTCCAGGTCACTGCTAAATGAAGACAGAATACAATGAAGACACACTGCACCTAGGCTATCCACTGCTGGCAGCCTGTGCCTTCCAAATGACAAAGGCACAACTGCAGCAAAGGAGATGGCTTAGGTGGCAAGCAGGGAAAAAAGGCATTTTTATGATGGCAAATATTAATCTGGAAGTGGACACATCCCAGCAGCTACCTCTTCGTCTTCATAAACAAATTGCACCATTATCTCCAGCAAGAAGGAGACACAGTTTTCACAGCTTTTATTCAGGACAGGCAGGTTTGCAGCAATGGGGAAACCCTTTGGAAAAATGTGCATAAAGGACAGTCACCACGGGCAAAAGCAATTTCAAACCTGGAAAGTTATGTATCTCCCAGCCTACTCTTTTGGCCTGCAAGGCAGTGGATAATAGTGGGAACAGCGCAAGGGAAATAATTTCTGTGATGCTTTCTCAGCACTTCTCCTCCAAGCCTTGGGAAAAATCCAGCCCCAAACCAGCAAAAGAACATGCAGCGAGTCAACACACAGGCTGCTGGCACAGTAAGAGAGCCAGGTTTCTGGGGACAATCTTCAAGCTCTTTATGCCAGGAACCATTCATGGGGACAAAATGCAATCTCCTGCCATGCCTTGCCCAGGAGTGGATGAATGTTAATGAAAAGATCAATTTTCTGCCAGTGAGTAAAGAGCTTTTAAACCTTTGCCTTGCAAGCATGGAAAACAACATTCCTAGAAAAATACCAGGACTGCTTACCTTTCGAGGTAGGTGACAATATTGGGGTTCTTCATTTCCCTCATGACCAGGATTTCTTTCACCATTTCCTCGCAGCCCTGTTGCTGGAGATCGAGTTTCTTTATGGCCACCTACAATGCCGTTGAAAGCCATTAGGAACAGACATTACAAGAACCTCTTTGTCTGCATGCTCGCAGGCCAGGATGCCTTGCCACCTCGGTAAAAAAGGAACCTCTAAACTATCAACCACAAAGCGCGAACAACCCTCTCTGCACCTGCAGACTTCACTAATGGACTTTGTTGATCACCACTGCTATTATCATTTACACAGGTTTCGCAAACAAAAAAGCAACTTTGCTCCTGTGCAAATAAATTGAAACCACTGGAAATACATTAGCATTTCTAGGGGCTTTGACCAGCTTTTCAGAGACTGCTGCCATTCGTGATTGTGCCCCAAAGTAAATACATACCTCGATTACAGAGAAAATGCTGCCCAGAAAAGATCTCCAAGGTGACTCAAAGTCAAGTTACAATCCTAGCACATGCTAACAGCTTCAGTTTGGAGTTTGCATCTCTGAAGAACATTCTTGAACATGGCTTAGATTGTCATTATTTTGTGGGTTTTAAAACAAATAATCCTTTCTGTGGTAGTCTGTGGATACAGCCCAGGTTATAAGTGGGGTTTAGGGCTTTTGGATGCCTTGTAGACCTCCCTCCAAGTGTGGTTCCTGAGCACGGCAGGTGGATAAGGAGGCACCAGGAAGATGGAATTGTATTTGCTGAGAGCCAGAAATGAGAATTCAGGACTTTCAGCCCCAAAGAGCAGTGGGACTCTCCAAGGCACCACCATGTCTGTTCACTAGAAACAGCATCACTATAAAGGAATGTCACCGACACAGGACCAGCACAAGGTTGTATTATGTAAGGTTCTACATCAACTCCTTCTCATTGACGTGCATGTGTGTGTGTGTGTGTGTGTGTGTGTGTGTGAACCAGGTGTCCCAGGAGTGCAACACAGTCAGCTGTGCTCCAGACAAGATCTCTCCTTCCTTCGGTCTTGCATTATATTTTCAGACCAAACCACATGATGGAATACAGTGGGAAATCCTATCTATGTCTGAATGCAGGCTTGAGAGGAATTGGGCCAGAATGACAGCTGTTGCCATCAGCTAATCTAGGCATATTTATCCAGTAAGTCCAAGCTAGTGTGTCCTTCTCTGAAAGACAACACTGCTATCATTGCATTAATTCAGGATGCGAGGCCAAGTCTCAGCAATGTGAAATTTTTAGCCTGCCTCTAGGCTCTAAGCAGGCTACTTGTGTGGGACAGCCTTTGCAGCAAAGACAGGCAGCCCAAAGCTCTGCCATCAGATCACATTGCAAGGAAAAGCACTCCAGAGCAGCAAAATCTGCGAGGGCTCTTGGCACTTACCGCTTGTCCTGTGGCAGCGTCAAAGGCCTTATAAACGGTTCCAAAACCCCTAGAAACAGAAGAGTGGCAAGAACAGAGAAGCCGTTCAGTGCTGAGAAGTGAAAGGCAGCCCAGGCAGGAGCTCTCTGCTGCCCGGAGTGTCTCTAAAACACGGGGCTTTGTCTCCTCTTCAGCCAATAGCACAGCAGCCCAGCAATCCTCTGCCATGCAGCGTGTCCTAGAGAAAAGCTCAGTCCAACAGGAAGAAAAAAGGGCTACTGCCAATCCCAAATGTACACACTAGGTCATGGATGCAGGGGTTTGCTTGGCCTTTTCCTTCCTGGGTCTCTGCGTGTGGCGTTCCTTTCCAGGCAATGAAACACAAAGTCCTGTTGGGCCTCCTTCTCCCCGCTCTCTTTTGATTCCATCTGCCAAACTCGGGCAACACTACACAGCCTTTCTTATTGTCCTGAGCACGGAATATTGCTTTCAGCAAAAGATTGGATGGAAATGCTACTGAGAGCAGTGACCTGACAGCAGCTTCAGGTTGGAGTTTGCATCTCTGAAGAACATTCTTGAACATGGCTTAGATTGTCATTATTTTGTGGGTTTTAAAACAAATAATCCTTTCTGTGGTAGTCTGTGGATACAGCCCAGGTTATAAGTGGGGTTTAGGGCTTTTGGATGCCTTGTAGACCTCCCTCCAAGTGTGGTTCCTGAGCACGGCAGGTGGATAAGGAGGCACCAGGAAGATGGAATTGTATTTGCTGAGAGCCAGAAATGAGAATTCAGGACTTTCAGCCCCAAAGAGCAGTGGGACTCTCCAAGGCACCACCATGTCTGTTCACTACAAACAGCATCACTATAAAGGAATGTCACCGACACAGGACCAGCACTAGGTTGTATTATGTAAGGTTCTTCATCAACTCCTTCTCATTGACGTGCA